TCCACAAACCCCATAAACTGTAGAATTTTGTTTATGTGTGTCTGTCATTTGGGGGGAAGAAAATGTCCATAATCATTACCAGATCTCAAAGAGACCATGACTCAAAACGAGTTTAGAACTGTTCCTCTTCCCCTTGTCCTACTCTGCAAAGCCAAACAGACTAGACGTCTTGCCTCTTCCATATAATTCTTCAGATTTCAAGGATAGCTGTCTTGTCCTCCTCAAGCTTATCTTTTTGGGGCAACTTTATTTTTCCATTTTTCACCTCTGCAAATTTTTCAATTTTCTAACATGACATGGTTCATATACACTTCCCTATTCTTATCCACATCCACCTTATGTGTTAATTTCTCAATCACTATCCCTCCGGACGGAGCTCCAGAAGCCTGTTGGCCACTGCGGGGAATAGGGACACTGTTCTTGACTCTTCCATTAGTGTAGCCTAAAGTATGCACTCAACTTTCTAACCTCTTACTCTGGGGTTTTATATTGACCACACAGTTAACTAAACCCCAAGATATTTGCACTTTGTCTAATAATACTAACCATGAAAATAATGACAGACATTTACTAAACATTCACTCTGTGTTAAGCCCTATGCCAACTACTATCTCTGTATTATTTCACTTATGTCTCACACAATAATTCTGTGAGATGGACACAGCTATTATTCCCATTTAATAGATGAGAAAAGTCGAGCTTATTGAGGTTAAATAATTTGCACAAGGTCACAAACTAGTAAGTGGCAGGCCCAGGATTTGAACCTAGATCCACCTGACTCTAGATCCCATACTTGAAACCACTATGATACTATATGCAGACATCTTGGCTACTGCTTTAACAATTATTTCTTTAAATTTAGGGCTTTGGATTTATCCCTATCAATTTTTTTTGGCCAATTATTTCCATCTATCATAATTTTTTAAATCTTGTTTTGTCACCTAACATACGGGCTATCTCCCCCATCTTCATGTAGCCTACCTGTTTTGTTTGGTAAGTGTGCCTTCTCTACCTTCATGGGTCAATTGCTGGCTGAGTCCAGTAGAGGGGGATGAACAGTAATCACAGTGACATAAAAACCAACACTTTTTGAGCCAGACACTCTTCTAGGAATTTTACTTGAATTGTTTCATTTATCTATTTGGCAAATAAGGCTACAATCACAAAAAGGTTAAATACTGGGCCCAAGGTACTAGTGAACTTTCTTTCAGTTGAAATTAACTTATTAACCATCACACCTGGAGTGTAGTGTTCAGCAAGTTACACAATCACCAACTTCTATATACTTCTACTTTTCCCATTTATAATGAATAATTTATCCAGTACCTGGATGCTTCATGACTCACTACCATGTTTAGAGACTCTACCTTTCAGCAATGCTACTGGAAAAGGAGATAGAGCTAATTTACAGTTTCTGACAATAATCCTTCATTTCCAGTTCCACATAGACTATTCAGTAATTTCTAGAAGGATCTTTCAAGGGAATGACACTAAAATTACTGATACATCCTTTTCAGAATTCATTTTTTAATTTCTTTAAACTCAGACAGAATGTCTAATTTCTGCTCTACTTGCCTGTCTCTGTAACTGTAATTTACCAACATAACTGACAACAGATCTGTAATCACATCTGAGAGTCCTCCCAGTCATCTGGGATGTAGTTTACTTTGCTCAGGAACTAACTCAACTGCATTTTAAGAAGTCCAAGCATTCTTTTCCAACGTTCACTCTATCCTGGACTTCAAGCCTCTTTCCCTTCTTGAAGATCCTGAAGCGTATTCCCCCTACCGGAGTTGACTGAATTTAAGTAAGTGAAATATGTATGTTTATTTCTGTCACTTTCTACATGCAGAAGCTGTCTCTTTTTCCTCCTCCTCCTCATTCCAGTCCAAAGATAGTTTTTTAAAAAATTCCCTTTTTGATAAACATCAATACAATAATCAGTAGTTATCTCGGAAGCAGAAAAGATTAGGAAAAAGTCAAAGGGATCTTTTCCCTTGTCTGTTTTGTTTCACTTTTAAAAAAAATGAGAATGTACTTATGTATTACCTGTGTAGTTAAAAATGAATACTGCCTCCTTCCTCCTAAAAAAAAAAAAAAAAAATCCCCTTTTGCTATCCTCAGCATTGAATAGTGAGAAAAGGATAAGCTTTCAACACAGACGTCCCTTGTTTGAATCCTGGGCCCAGCATGTACTAACTGTGCCTCTTCGTTCAATTCAACAACAGGTATTTATTGACTGGCTAAAAATGAATGTTCCAGCAAGTTACTTAACTTTCCTGAGCTTCCATTTCTTTAGCTGAAAATGGGGATACTAGTAGCAAGCAGGCAGGTAATAAAGCAAAATAGTAACAGACAAATTGTGTCTCCAGGGTATCTGGATTCAAACAAAAACTTTGTAGTGGTGTGCCCTTGGGCAAATTAAATGCATTAGGGCAGTGCCTGGCACAGAGTAAATGCTGCATAAATGGTAGTTATCATTATTATTCTTGCTTCGAAGAGCTGTCATTTGGATTAATATAGTACAAGTTCTAAAGCATTAGAACAGCACCTGCACTCAATAAAGGTGAGTCCCTCCAGGTTCTCCCTTTTAAGCATATAGCCAAGAGTTTTATACAATTTTTTTTAACCTAAAACGACCTCACCTGCATCCCTCCCCTGTCTAAAAAAATATCAGCTTTCTCAGGGCTTTATGTCTTCCAGACATTGTTCTTACAGATTAAGGGTGCTCTTTGGAAATACTGTTGGGTCTATGCCTGACCTTTTTACCTTTCCATTTTTTAAAAAAATTTTAAATTTCAGCATATTACAGGGGTACAAATGTTCAGGTTACGTATATTGCCTTTGCCCCATCCAAGTCAGAGTTTCAAGTGTGTCCATCCCCCAGGCAGTGCGCACTGCACCCATTAGGTGTGTGAATACCCACCTATTGGGTTGTTTCCAACAATCTTTGCGATTGTGAATTGTGCTGCTATGAATTTTCTAGTGCAGATGTCTTTTTTACAGAATGTTTTTTGTTCTTTTGGGTAGATGCCCAGTAATGGGATTGCTGGATCAAATGGTAGTTCTACTTATATCTCTTTGAGTTTATGGCCCAAGGTTATAATTAGAATTTTAAAGAAAATTCCTTCCTACCTCACTCTGACATAATGCCTGCTACATCTACAACCTCACACCAGGTGGGCCAAGCTCTACTACCATGGAGCTTTTTTTGTGCAGTTATATATGGAACAAAGTCCAGAAGGGCAGTATTATATAGGGCAGTAAGAAAGTCAGGCAGTGAGGCAAGAAGGCAGCCGCCTGCGTGCTGCTGGGGAGGCATGGAGCTCATGCCCACGGTGCTTCCTCCCGACAAAAGGGAGAGAAAAGACTTCCATCAAGGCCAGGTGCAAGTAGTTCATGCCTGTAATCCTAGCACTCTGGGAGGCCCAGGCCGTAGGATTGCTCAAGGTCAGGGGTTCGAGACCAGCCTGAGCAAGAGCAAGACCCCCATCTCTACTAAAAATAGAAAGAAATTAGTTGGACAACTAAAAATATATAGAAAAAATTAGCCGGGCATGGTGGCACATGCCTGTAGTCCCAGCTACTCGGGAGGCTGAGGCTGGAGGATCACTTGAGCCCAGGAGTTTGAGGCTACTGTGAGCTAGGCTGATGCCACGGCGCTCTAGTCTGGGCAACAGAGAGAGAGAGACTCTGTCTCAAAAAAAAAAAAAGACTTTCATCGATTCTGCAGAGCTGTTGTGGTTTTTCAGCCCTTAACAATATGAAATGTTTTAATGAAATATGATGAAATTATATATATTAAAATTGTATATTTAATTATATATTATCCATAATTTTTTGTCATAGAAAAGCAATCCACCACCCAAATGTTTCTTTTTCTGTCATAAAGCTGTCCTGGTCTGTGGTTTCAGTGTTTATGTTGGCATTTTATTGTCTTGTAAATTCTCTAATAATGTGTTTTTTTTTTGTTTGTTTTTTTTTTTTTTTTTGAGACAGAGTCTCACTTTTGTTGCCCAGGCTAGAGTGAGTGCCGTGGCGTCAGCCTAGCTCACAGCAACCTCAAACTCCTGGGCTCAAACGATCCTCCTGCCTCAGCCTCCCAAGTAGCTGGGACTACAGGCATGTGCCACCATGCCTGGCTAGTTTTTTGTATATATATTTTTAGTTGGTCAATTAATTTCTTTCTATTTTTAGTAGAGACGGGGTCTCGCTCAGGATGGTTTCGAACTCCCAACCTCGAGCAATCCGCCCGCCTCGGCCTCCCAGAGTGCTAGGATTACAGGCGTGAGCCACCGCGCCCGGCCTAATAATGTGTTTTTAACTAATGTTGATGGCTGGCTGATGTAGAAGGCAACGATTTCTCCGTGCAATATATTCATTAATTAAGAATTAATTTTATACTCGGTTTGCAAGCTTTCACATGTGCTTCTCTGCCTCCTAAACCCAACCCCCGAGGCGGTGCAGGCTGCGCCCCTGAGGGCAGCACCGGGGAACCCTGGGGTCACTGCCCCACCATCCCGTCCCGTTCGTGCAATAATATCACGTCCTTACTCAGCCCAGAGACAAACTCCCGGAAGTTAATCAGAGAGTCTCCATTTTCATCTAATAGCTGGAACAAGCGGGAGGCGAGAATGTCAGAGTGAGCTCCGCACGCCCAGGGAAAGAGAAGAGCAAACATCCCCTTGAACTGATCGAAGTCGATGCGATACTGTTCCAGGTAGGGCAGGCTGGGGTCGTGCCGGTCCAGCGCGTTGCTGCTCCCACCCCAGTAGCAGCTGGTGAGATGTTCTGCCTGAAAAGGGAAGAACAGGATGATCGCTAGGGACTCTTGTTTTCGCAGGGACAAAAGGCCGGCCCTCAGGTGTAGGGCCAACCTGTGTGCATCCCCTGGGGCAGGGCTCCAGCCTCAGGGTCCTCAGTGTCCTCGTTCTGCAACCCCACTAGACCCGCCCTCCACTGACCCCACGCCAGCGCTCCTGCGGCTTAGCCCTGGCGGGAAAGTGAGGCTCAATTATTGGATGTGCACATGACATACACACTCAGGTTTCAAAATAATTCCCATAAAGAGAAAGAGTTTTTTTTTTTTAACTTAAAGGAAATAAATCGGATTCGTAGCTTTGCAGGAGGGTGCAGCCAGGCCCTCGCAGGAACCATGTTTTGCAAGCAGTATGACAATGAAGTTACTGTTTGGAGCAGGATTCATCACATTGAATATGCCATGGAAGCTGTTAAACAAGGTTCAGCCACAGTTGGTCTGAAGTCAAAAACCCATGCAGTGTTGGTAGCTTTGAAAAGGGCACAGTCAGAGCTTGCAGCTCATCAGAAAAAAATTCTCCATGTTGACAACCACATTGGTATCTCAACTGCGGGGCTTACTGCTGATGCTAGACTGTTGTGCAATATTATGCGCCAGGAGTGCTTGGATTCCAGATTTGTATTTGACAGACCACCTCCTGTGTCTCGTCTTGTCTCTCTAATCGGAAGCAAGACCCAGATACCAACACAACGGCATGGCCGGAGACTGTATGGTGTTGGGCTGCTTATTGCTGGTTATGATATGGGCCCTCACATTTTCCAAACCTGTCCATCTGCCAACTATTTCGACTGCCGAGCTATGTCCATTGGAGCCCGTTCCCAATCAGCTCGTACTTACTTGGAGAGACATATGTCTGAATTTATGGAGTGCAATTTAAATGAACTGGTTAAACATGGTCTGCGTGCCCTAAGAGAGACACTTCCTGCAGAGCAGAACCCAACTACAAAGAATGTTCCCAGTGGAATTGTTGGTAAAGACTTGGAGTTTACAATCTATGATGATGATGTATCTCCATTCCTGGAAGGTCTAGAAGAAAGACCACAGGGAAAGGCACAGCCTGCTCAACCTGCTGATGAACCTGCAGAAAAGGCTGATGAACCAATGGAACATTAAGTGATAAACCATTCTATATGTGCATTATCAAATATGTAAGAATGCAGGAACACATACTGATGACAGTAATCTATACTTTGAACTAAAAGTTGCAGAGTAGTGGAATGGTATGTTTTAGGAATCAGTCCCAATGTGAGTTGTTTCCAAGCAGCCTCACTGATGCCACATAATGGGGTTCATTTTTCTTTCAGAGGGTATATGTATCATTTTCTAGAAAGTATAGGTATCTGTACTAATGTTTTTATATGAAGAAAATAGTGTCTTTGTGGTTTAAAAGACAACTGTGAAATAAAATTATTTCACCTCCTAAAAAAAAAAAGAAATAAATAAAATGCTAAACTGAAAACAATCTGGAGTTTAGACAATGTGACCCCCTTGTTTTCTAGGTGAGGATAGTAGAACCCCACGTGGTGTGGCTCACACAAGGTCAACCAGCCAGTTAGTTAAAGCAGAATCGTGATGAGATTTGGGGCTTCCTAAGTCATGCTTTAATGTCCCATGGATTTTACATGACCCCCTGCTTTCCTGGTCACCCAAATCACATAAATATTATAGTCATACAGTATTCAGTGTATAGGGATGTGGTCATCCTATTTCACACACCTGCAAATAGCTCTAGAAAAATTATTAGTACAGGAACCACTAAGGTGAGCAGATGAGAGATCGGGATAAAGCAAATGGCTTCCTGTTTCTGTCCTTAGAAGCGAGGCAGCTTCTTTATTCATGAGGTCACACTTACTTTGGTAGAAATACACACGCATTTGAGGAAGACCACAGATAGAAATCATGTACTGGAAAGGCCCGGAAGAACACCCTCACCCACACACAGGCTTTTATAGTCAGTTATGGGTGTCGGGCAGGGAGACAAGAGGAGCATGTTGAAGAGGATTTCTTTTTACTTTACTCCCTACTGCATTGTCTGAGTATTTCACTATAAGCATGTATAAATATTATAATAGAAAAAAGCACTTTTGAAAATCTTTCTGATTTTCTGAAAAAGAGAGGAGTCCATTGTGAGTATATAGTACTTCCATTCTGCTCTCACTAAAAAAGGAGCTAAGAAGATCAATGTTCCGATTGCAATTATTAATATTTACTGGTAATGGTAGTGAATAAACTAAATGAGAAGTCTGGCAGGGCCTTGGGACTGCATTCCTGGCTGCAGGGCGGAGGCAGGGAGATGTCAGAGGGAAGGAGGAGGATGCTGAGGTCAGAGTGGCCTCCTGGACTGAGCTGTTCTCTGAATTAGCATGAGTGGAGCCCAATAACCCTCTGTGGGCAGGACAGTGCTTGGTGATACATCCCTGGAAGGGGCCCCCTATACCTCAGCTGTTTTAGGTGATAAAGGTTACCCAAGGGTTTCCCCCTTAGCACCCAAGTTGCTCTGAACGAGGCCCGAACATGGGTGCAGGCACTTTCATGGAGCTCGCAACTGCCAGCAGAACACGAGCCCTTCAGATCATCTCCCTTGTTCCTCGATGAGACCCCACAGACCATCATTTGGGGGCTAGGGGCCCAGAGACTGAAACAGAAGGACTAATTAAAAAGGAGTTCGAAAGAAACTAGGACAAAAGGGCCCTGAACTACATTTTCCACCAACTTAGACTCAGGCATTCTTTAATCCCCACCCCCTGCCAAGTTTCCCCCAAAACCCATGTAGAAAGCTACTTGGGAGAGGGACTGCATCATTTCTTTGTATCTTTAGGAAAGCAGCAAGAAATTGGCTTTTTAAAGGACTAAAAAGCTTGACACATGGCAATGGCTCAATAAATGTTTGTGAAAATAAATTAAAGCCAATTAAAGTATTCCAGAGACTCAAGAAAGAATCGATAAGTGAAGATTTTATCTTGCCTTCCACAGTACCAGAGACTCCGTCCTGTCCCTGACACCAAGCAAGGGTCTTAGGTTACTTTTTCCATGCTCAGAGGGCTGGATAACTTGTGTCTGTCACCACACCTTTCAGGCAGGGCTTTGAGTAGGAAAGGAGCTTGCTTTCTTGAGCATACTCTCAGGGTTCCAATGACACACCTGCTGCCTGAGGGAGCACAGACCAGCGAGTGGAGCACTGCCCAGGTAAGACGTGGCTTCAACAACCTCAGGATCTGGGACGTCCGTACAACCAGCCCTGGTCCCTCTCCTTCTTTTTCTTTCAGAGGGTATATGTATCATTTTCTAGAAAGTATAGATATCTGTACTAATGTTTTTATATGAAGAAAATAGTGTCTTTGTGGTTTAAAAGACAACTGTGAAATAAAATTATTTCACCTCCTAAAAAAAAAAGAAATAAATAAAATGCTAAGCTAAATTTCAAAAGCCAAACCAGTCTTCTTATTTGAAGGTGTCTCCCAGAGTCAGCCTCCTCTGTCTACTGTCATTGCTCTTTCTCTTCCCTGTCTGTGGTCCTGCTGCCTCTGGCTGCTTCTCCCACTTCTGTTTATAGAGCTCCCCCCCCATCCGGGCCCTACCCCCCACCATCCTGGGAAGAAGACTTCTTAAAGACCTTCAGCATCCCTTTAAAATCTGATCTCGGTTGAATCACTATTTTCCTTTAAGAAACAGAGGGACGCTGCCTTAGGGATAGCCAACTTACACGGAGCAATTAGCTACAGGTGCTTAACACGTACGAGCAGCATTCATGAGTGGCACAACACGGAGCCTTCACCGCAAGTGGTCAGTGGGGGCTGGCGGCGGGGCCCTTGCCCCCTGTTGGCAAAGTGCACGCCAACCAGCGTTGAAGCCGGAGCGCCTCTGCCTCTCTGCACCTGTTTCCTCTTCAGAACAACACGGGGACTGTGCTATATTGAGAACTGATCACTAATTCAACACACACGTTTGGAACATCTACCAGGAAAGAGACACTAGGACACTGGAGCGCTTTACCAGGCACTACTGAAACAAAAATAAACAGTGGCGCCCCCTAGTGGCTCACGGGCAAGTGGGAATATGAGCAAGAACACTGCAAAGCTATGCTCACTACCATCAATCATGCAGATTGTTAAGAACTGTTTGTGTTCGACTCTGATTTTTATGTTTGGTCCTTTATGTTTTCTCCTGTGCTATCTTTGCAATGCTCAAAACAGCCAAATTTAGTTCCGACAGTACTTAGCCAGGGTGATAAAGTGGTACCTGCATAAAAGGCATCTTTTACATGTTTTTCTTGTTAATTGCCGCATTTTAACCTATGATGTCGTTGATGTTAGTTCTGACAAAAGTATTTTTTCTAGAAGAAAAAATTATATGTTCCTTTATTTAATAACATAATACTTTCTTATTAAGAATCAAGATTGATAGGGGCTGAGTTATAAAATGGAAATCACAGAAATGTAACCAATTATGCTTTTCCTTAGGCACTTAAACAGCTTTATTCTCATTCTAGCTACATATGATCTCTTTGTAAGGGTGTTTTACAGCTTAATATAGGAAATCACAATGTACAAGAATTTCAGCCATCGTATTAATGAATATTATGAAGCAACAACCTATTTCCTTAGGCCCAAGGAAACAGCTAGAATGTAAGATGAAGTGTGAGAGAGCTAAAATAAGAACTTACGGTAGTTATAAGAATATGTTTATTTTTCAAATAAAACATTCCAGTTTTGTGCTCTCAGCTCTATCTTCCTATTTATGCATGTGGAGATTTGTGCTATCCCTTCAACGGAAAGATCAAGAACTAACTGAATTATTACAGCGAACTCTTTTACTACTCTGAATTGGTGTGAATTTACTTTGAAACTCACCTTGAAAAGAGCATAAAGTTCTTCCAGCTCATCAATGGTAAAGGAAGTTTCTGTCACAATGGTTCGTACCTATAAAAATAATCAGCACAATGAATTTCACAAACTCAAAAAATGTCATATTGGGAAAGTCTCTAATTTGCTTCTTTTAAGCTAACTTCGGTTCTGTCAAGCAGGGACGTATGAGCAGGCAGGGGAGTGAGGAGGGAAGGGGAGAGGAGGCCGCCTGCATCTTCTCAAAGGACTTACCACGTTGCGTTTCGTAGTATCCTCCAGTGTCTGGATCACTTTCAGTCTCTGTTTGAATCTCATCTGTTCAATCAAATCTGCCCGGATAGTTCCAAATTTCTGGAAAGGAACAATATTGGTATTTCTGAAAAAATCTACTACAGCACACAGCGTCATGTCTGCAGGATGGCTGAAACGCACTCTAGACACATATAAAAAAGGACTTGCCACATGACAGGCATCCTAGACTATACTTTTATTTACTCCTTTAAAGCCATCTAGGGACCATAAATAAATATCTGGAAATTCTTTTGCACCTCAGCAGTTGAACTAAATTTCAAAGTCAAATGTCTCTTCCTTAAGTCAATAGTTTCACCAAGAAGAAGGGCTAAATAAGGCTATTTGTGTGGGAAAGAAACGCTTCAAGGGAAGAATTCTCTTAACAAGAAGAAAGGAAGTATGTAATCTACGGCTAGCTATTAGACCTCGAGGTTGGAAGAAACCTCCATTCTTGTCTGAGATTCTGTGCTCCTGGTCATTAGTTCAGCTGCATTCATCCATCTGGTCCGGAAATTCATGGTGCGCGTCTGCAGACGGTAGACACTGTGAGCTAGCCTCCTCTACAAGCTCCCAAATGCCCAGCACTGCCTAACTCTTTGGTAAGCTAAATTTCAAAAGCCAAACGAGTCTTCTTATTTGAAGGTAAAGAGAAAATCTGTAAGGTTTTATGTCTCTTAGGGATGCAGAAAAAAAAATAAAGAAACTCTGCTTAAAGCATGAGTTTGCTTTAACCTACAGAAGCAAAGACTGCAATGGTTAAATACATTTAGCAGTGGTCCCCAACTTTTTTAGCACCGGAAACCCATTTTCATGGAAGACAATTTTTCCACGGACTGGGGGGTGGTTTGGGGATGATTCAAGTGCATCACATTTATTGTGCACTTTATTTCTATTATCATCACATTGTAATATATAATGATATACGATTCACCATAGGTTGGGGACTCCTGAAAGGAAAAGGTGACAGACAATGTCAAGTGTAGGGAAAGATATGGTGCAACCAAAACTCTGATGCTGATGGAGAATGCCAGTTCCTATAAATTCTTCTTCCAGACTGGTCTGTGTGGTGGACTCTGAACTATATCCCCCAAGTTGGGGTCTACAGCCAAAGATTATACCTTTCTAGTACCTTGTGCTTTCTCCCTGTATTGAAAGGACTAATCCTGGAATTGAGTTTTGATCCAGGCATTCCTTTCTCATAACCAGAAGAAAAGAGCACACTGACACCCTTGAATCTGACCAGTTGGTCTTCCACTGGTAATGCAGAGAGGAGCATCTCAGTCCATAAGTCAAACTTTAACACTGGGACTTTGTCTTCTACTTCTGTATAATTCTGCCAAAAGTGCAGAGTCTCATACACATGACCCCCACAGAAGAAAACTGGAGTTTCAAACCATCTAAACAATTCCTTGCATTAGGTGCTTAGGAGAACTTACAACAAGCGAGATCTTCTCTGCCAGGCATTTACGAAGTGAAGTTATTGTCTCTACTCACCAGGCTCAATCTGATCAATATCAGACCAACCTCCAGCAACCTGTACAGCCTTTGACCAAACCTCAAAAGATGAAAGTGCTTTCAGTCTTTCTTTCCCACTTTTTAATTTCTATGGCTAATTATCCTGAAGAACAAAAAGAAATGTGTTGTCTTCCTCGGAACATTCAGATGTCGAGACTTAGCCCAAACCAGGTTCTAATCCGCCTCAGCTATTTATTAACCCCATTCTGCATTGAGCAGTGAATCTCAGCCCTTACCTGGCATTTGGAATAGCCTGGGGAACTTTAAAAAAAAAAGTACTTACTCTTGGGCTTCATGCCAGGGATTCAGATTTAATTGGTCTGCAATGGAGCCTGGGGATTTATATTTTTAAAGGCCTGGCTTTAAAAAATATTTTTTTTTAAGTGGTTTAATGCACAGACAGGATTGAGAACCACCAATCTATGGATAGGAGAGGGAAGAAAGATCAGCGAGAGTGTGTGGTGTTTTCTTTAAGTTGATCTATAGGGCATCAGAGAGCCACTGGAAACATGAGCAGAGCAGTGACACTTAAGCACATGAGAGAAAACAAAAAACCAGTTATCATGCACTGAAAGGCCA